TTGAACATTTTCGAGGTTTGTAATAATAGGTACCTACCTATCATATATGAATATAAAGAAAGCTAAAATGCGTTGCGTGAGAGTGTTAGTAGTTGTAACAAAATATTTGCGTCATGCTTATTATTGGTACTTTTTTGCCTTGACCACAAAATACGTAGTTACGTCTGTGGCGACGTGCCAAAGTAAAATTTAATATTGAGTAGGTACCTACTTGGTGGTTTGCTTGGTGGATCAATGCGAGATATAGGTATCAAGTATAAATAACTTCCATGAAATCATCAAATTAGGTTTAGGTATTCAAGTCAAGAATGCCAATCTCTTATTCTGAGATTGCATGTTGCAGATAGTTGAAAGAAGTATTTCTGAGTCTTTCAGTCAAGAATTAAATTCACTTTTATAAGTATATGTAGGTATTTTCAGAAGGAAGAATATTTTCTTGTTGACATACAAGAGCATAAATATCTTTGAGTAGTTACTTCATCTCTTCAACTGAAAATTGATTTGTCTTATCAGAAGTAGAGTTATCTTACTGATCAATTTTATATCACAAGTATTCGACGTTTTTGAGAGAGGCAGTTTGAAAACAAGAGCATCATCGCTGAAATTAGTATTCAGATCTCTCCAAATGTGCGATACACTGAATTCGATGAGTATTCATTATATTCGTGTTCATATACCTATAGTACCTATACATGTTTGATCTTTCCAAACAAGTGGGAATATTCAGTGTATTTATGAATTTTCTCAAGCAGAGATTCAATTAGTTTCAAATAATCTTATCTGGTTTCTTCAATGAATATCTTGTAACATCTCTCTTCAATTCAATACTATCGTGAATTTTGTTAGGAACATATACCTATGAAGCGGCATCGAGCGAAGGTAATATTGGATCCTTTCAAAGAAATAGTTGAATTTCAAATTGAGATGAATTATTTTCGAGTTCGTTGAAATATTTCTTCATGAATATGGGAGAGTGGGATTTCTTTGTTTGAAGTTCTTGGCCATGCATGAAACTATGAGGAGTTCCGAACTCATTTTATGAAAATTCATCTGAAGGATACTTAACCAGTGTCAATCTCGGCATTGATTCGAGGCGATTATTTTTTATTTCATTTGGTTTTTCTAGCAAAAAATAACTTGTGAAACATTCCACCCCGATCAACTTTTGGCAGGACCCTAATCGTGCGCGGACACATCCTCGTCTCGCCATTGTTAGGCGGAATGTGCGTTATTATTCATCATCCCACCACCTGTCAGAGAGAGAGCAGACAATACCGACTCATCCGTCATCGGGTTGACCAATGCTCGGACGGCCCGAGCTCCCGCCAACCAATAGCAGCGCAGGAGAGCGTGGGAGCCGTCACGTTGACGACAATCGTCTCGAAACATCCAAACAATGCTCGATTTCGGATTGTTATTGTTAGGTTAGGTATTGCACCGCGGCAACACCGACTGCGTATAAAACAAGCGCAAGGTCGCCAGCACATCGGCGGTCGATTGTTGTGCGGAAGAGGAAGAGGAGATGTGCACTGGCCCAACTCGTTGGTTCCTGAAGCGTGTATAGATCTTTATTAGTGATGGGCATAATCGAATAGTTGGCATTCGAATTATTCCAATAATCGGAATCCCATTCGAATGATCGACCACTGGCATTCTAACTATCGAACAGCGGAATCGGAATGCGGTTTTTACTAAAACCTCAGATTGGGGTGGATTCGATTAGTAGACCTTTCTCATTGAAACAAATGTTAAACATCTGAGTTTCAAGTCCTGATGATGCCTTGCTTTCAACAGCTTTGGTTGGTGTATTGCCGCAATGTAATTCCATGTTATTCGAGATAATATAGGTAGCCGTGCGGACAGAGTGTCAATATTCTAATCCGCATTCGCTTGCCGGTCGTGGGTTCGATTCCCATCGACTGCAGACATTTTTCTGATGGCCCAAGAAAGTGTTTGGGATCACACGTTAAACCCGGGCGCACATTGAGACGCAGGCAACACAGGTGTCGCAGGGCAGCACAGGCAACACAGCACAGGATAACTGCATACAGGTTTTCACTAGACACGTGGCTGAGGGCACATTGAAAGGCAGCTTTTCGCTAACTGCTTCTTATATTGAAGGTGTAGGTTAGTAATGGATGAACTTATGGACTTCAGAGATGCTAACTAATATTGCATTAATGCACGATAGTTCGACTAGAGGGATGTCATTTTGGAAACGCGAGTATTTGAAGAAAATAAATTCTAATGGAGACTTCCAGTTAACAACTGAATTTTCAGACACCCGATTTACAAACCTTTTTGGGTTGAACATCTTCATATTTGGTTTTCATGAAATCTGCATGACTTGTGTCATATATAATATAGTCTTCCTCCTGACCAATTCGATCAATTCCTCATACATATAATTGTATGAAATCTCACACAGCCACACACGTTTGCACGTCTCGCGCAGAAATCTGTGTCTCGAACACTGAATGACGCAGGTCATTCGAGGCATAGTTCTGCCCTGCACTACCCTATATGTCGCAATTTGCGTTGATGCATTAAAACTATTTGTTTACAAAAACACGTGCTGTCCTGCGCTACGTAACCTGTGTTGCCTGCGTCTCAATGTGCGCCCGGGCTAAAAGGTAAGGCCCACGTCATTCCTTGCTCGCACAAGACTCTCGAAGACTTCTGAGGGTTGCTCGTGAGGGTGCAACCGAATGACGGATAGAACAATTTTAGAATTCTAGAATTGTTTATATCTCCATCGCCGCTTCCATCTCTAGTCAGCCGCCTATTAGTCATATTTCGGGCTGACCCGAACTCACCTCGTTCTTCCTTTCAATTCGTTCGAGTTCCTGGATCACATTCGAGTTATCTGAATCATCTTCTTCTTCTCCTTCTTCGAAGCACTGGTGGGCGGGTGAACCCCCTGCACGTGGGCCTCCTTATTCGGGCCCATTGTGCGCCCACATGTTACGACATTCGGCTGGGTATACCGACTGCCTTGGAGAAGTTCAGCAGCTTCCTCAGCTGAATCTCTTTTACGTCCTCTGGCCTCAAAATTATGTTGCGAAGGACAGCCCTCCTCTGATGCGTGAGTGCTGGACACTCAGTGAGGACATGTGACGTCGTTTCGTGATCTTCCAGGCACCATCTGCAGAGGGGGTTATCCTTGATCCCAATAAGCTCTAGGTGCCTATTGGGGTGGTTGTGCCCCGTTAGGAGCCCCACTACCATTTTGAGGTTTCGCCTGTTTAGGAATAAAACCTCTTTTGCGAGCCTCTTCGAAGGTTCCTTTATGTGGAGCTTCGATTGTCTCATTCCTGGTGTGTCCTTCCATATTTTGAGAAATTGCTTTTGCAGATGTTCCTCTATAGAGGACATTGCCAGGCTATTTGGTATTCCCAAGATTGGTTCCGGTCCGACCGAGGTCCGTCCTGAACCGATCTTTGCCAGTTTGTCTGTCTCCTCGTTTCCGGGTATTCCCGAATGTCCCGGGACTCACATGAGGCTGACTTTTCTTGATTTTGCCAGGTTTTCCAACGCTTTTCTGCACTCGGACACCAAATTGGATGTGATCCTATTGGATTGCAAAGCCAGTATTGCAGCTTTGCTGTCCGAGCATATAGTGATTGGTCTACGACCTCTCATAATTAGGTTTTCTTGGACACAGGTGAGTATTGCAAGTACTTCTGCCTGGAACACTGAGGCATATTCGCCCAAAGGAACTGAAATTTCTTTCCCTGTATCTGAATCATTTGATGACATCTCTTTCCCGCTCGACAACTCGGCGTTTTCATTTGAGTGATTATCATCGAGTTTGAATATAGGTATTCGAATGATCCTGTCAAAGTACTCGAGAAATCTCGAGTGATATTATTATTTCCATCAAAGATGTATTATCTCTTTATTCCAAATTTTTTTGGATTTCCTTGCCTCGTTTTTATAAAATAAAAATATGAATATCATTTTATAGAAACGAGGAGAGGAAATCCAAAAAAATTTGGAATAATGAATGTACCACCTCCTCGATTAACCTACATACAGTATGTACCTATATATAGTATCTCTGTTTCAATATACGTGTCGTGTACTATATATATTTATCTTACAAATGATTGGCGTAGGTTGAATTGGTTTTTACGTTATTGGAAGCTGTTTTTTGTTCGCGTGTATTCGATTTTGAATAGGTATATATAAAATATGTTCATTGGTTGTTGAACGATGAAACACTAATAGCACTTACTTATCGGTATGTCACGTCATCGGGAGCTAGCGTTTTTGAGAGGTGATTATTCTGCTTATTGAAAAAGAGCGTCCTTCTTAAAATTGTGCTTCAAGCGGTCTATACTTATCACGAGTCTAGATCTAAATCAATGTGTTACATGATCTAGGGTTATAGACGAATCTGAACGAATAAAATCAATCTGAAATTGACACTTCTCTCACATTCAATTTGTTTATCGTGTGATTGCATTTGATTCAAAGTTTGGATTCAGTAAGAATATGAGGAAGTGTATGAGATGATATATGAAATCATTGGTATACTTGATGGGAGCATAAAAATCTTATCTCTACCAGAGAAGCAAGCTGAAGCCAATTTATTTTACCTCCCACGGGAAGTAATATTTTGTTTCTCCCCGTGGGAGTGAATTGACAGGTTTGTGTTTCAAATGAGGGAGCAAACGACTACTTTTAATGCAATGAGTAGATAAAATAGATACCTATATATGATGTAAATTTTCTAATATCAAGTTCCGGAGTTACTTAATATTTATTTGACTCCATTATACCTATATCTCACCATCACAATGTTAACCGAAATCACTGAATAGTCAACAGATTCCTATTGAAGTTTTATTTTTGATTAATAAAAACGCATAGGTATATACATCATTGACCAACTATATATATATATATATATATATCTACTTATTAGGAGGAAATTTTCTTTCAAGATAAATTAAGACATGGAAAAACAAACGATATACACAATAATTCGTACAATGTCATGGATATCGGTAATCATATTTCATCAAGTCAAGTTGAAGTTGTAGGTGTTCGTTCCACATAGCATAATCTGAGGCAAGAGCATAATGGGTTTGTTCTTGTAGGATCTTCAGAGATAACATTTTTTATTCATATTCCAATGCAATAATAATCATGCAACTAACCTTATCTGATTCCAGTTGCTGTTCTGTAACAAGCTGTTCTCTAGCCATCTGCAGTTGCAAAATGAGCTCCGACAACTTCCTATGCTTCTCCGTGATGTTGTCTCCAGAAAGAGCTTGTTGAATAGCCGCAGTTGGTTCAACATCCCTGCAAAAGAAGATCTCTATCTATAAACAGAATTGTGCCGGATGATTTCCACGGTTGTGTACGTCGAGCAGTTATCACAGAAAAAACTCTTTCCTAAAAACGATCAAAGAAACATATTATTGTTGGAAAATAATACTGAGCTTTCATGAGAGATTATCCGAGATAATGTTGGATGCGAATCTTTCGTCGGATCTTGCTTTAATCTAGACTTACTCTTATATGCTGTTCTTCTTATTGTAACTAGTATGCAGCATACTATTTATTTTGTGCTGGAAAAAGTTATAAGCGGATGTATATGAGCTATACCTTATTGCTTGCTCTACATATATACAAGCATATTCATTTCATGTTATTTCATAGCTGATTACCTAGCTTGAATAATGCAACATAAGACATCAATTATGAAGTATGTATATAGTGGAAAGATAATGTTATGTAGATGGAAAAATATAAAATTCTAGTGAGATTTGAATAGCATTACGCTTCTTTGAGACACAGGTTGCATCTGATGCATATGTGAAGATCAAACAAAAGTTATTGGCATGATATATAAGGATTTTGATTAGATACATGAAAAAGTGATGAAAAAACATCGCTGGAACGTCTACTTTGTAATCAACATAGCTGTTTGGCATTCGAGTTTGATAATTATTATTCGATTGGAAATGATGAACCTCCTCCTTCTTTTGCATACAACGGATTTTTAACAATTGATTGAGTGCCACGTGACACGTGACCATTTTCAATGCGGCGTCTTTCCCCATTTGTGCTTGTGTATCATTGATTGATTTTGAAATTTTAAACGAAGTACATTATATTATATGAATGACTAAATGGATTGAGAAGTGGTCAGAGAAAGAAACTGAAAAATATACATATTATATACAATGAAATATCTCCATCTTTCAATACAATACTATGATGCAATAATGGTCCATATACAGTGTTATTGCTATAGAAGACTTCATTTCAGTCACTGTTCAATATTTTTGGATAATAATATGCGTATCTATAGTTATTGAGAAATATTAAATAAACTGCATGAATGAACACAATGATATGGAAATCAGTCCACCATACAAGAAAGCGGAAAAAATGGGTTATGTCATTTATCTTCGATATGTTTCACACATGAGGTCAAGGCAACAAATGAGAATGAATATAATGATAATACAAAACAATCTGGTTATACGTAATACCAAAACAACATAGAGAAACAAGAAATATACAGAACGAAAAATATTTTTAAAACTTCAATAGATGTTACTTTTACGGAAATGGCATTTTTCGCAAAATATTATATTTTATGGGAAACGCTGGGTCATATTATATTTATACTAGCTTACAAATCTATGTGATTGGGGCAGATTTCCTTGTTTGTGTGGACTATGTTTACGGTCTGTTATACACTTGCATTACCCCAGTACCTCAGTACCTATATGCATCATATCAATAGATAATAAGCCAGTATTATTACCAATATTACCGAAAGTTTCTTTGGTTATTTCTTTTAATCCCATCAGATCTCAGTGCAGACGGAAATGGGGTTTTTATAATTATGTCAACAATTATTTCAGAGGGATATATACCAGATGTTTCAGTTCCTATAGAACGTGTCATATGTCCCTGAGAAGGAGATATAATAAATATTGAGTGAGATCAGTAATGTAGTGTTAATAAATTGTATGGGTGCCAAGTTACTTCAATAGTTACAAATTAATGACTAACCAGGTACGTACAAAATTCCGGAGCAGACTAATTGGTTCACGTGGTCAGTTCGCCCCCCTTAATGACAGGTAAATTGCCTCCCAAGGCATAGGTGAATCGTCTCCCGAAGATTATCTCGATTACCAATGAAGGTAGTAGAACATACACGTGGAGCAACTCGCGCAAGATCTAAGATATGACCCTTCCTCGCACTAATGGCTCCCGTGGTCAGTTCGCCCTCTCAATGACCGGTAAATTGGCTCTCAAGGCATATAGGTGAATTGGCTCGCGACGATTATCTCGATTACCACTGAAGGAAGTAGAACATACACGTAGAGCACCTCGCGCACAATCTAAGATATGACCCTTCCTCACTATTGGCTCCCGTGGTCAGTTCGCCCCCCTTAATGACAGGTGAATTGCCTCCCAAGGCATAGATAAATTGTCTCCCGAAGATTATCTCGATTACCAATGAAGGAAGCAGAACATACACGTGGAGCACCTCGCGCAAGATCTAAGATATGACCCGATATGACCCTTCCTCGCACTATTGGCTCCCGTGGTCAGTTCGCCCTCTTAATGTCCGGTAAATTGGCTCCCAAGGCATATAAGTGAATTGGGTATCGATAAGATTATCTCGATTACCCTTTCTCACTGTCGACTTATGTCATCATAAGGAAAAACGAATACAAACAACAAAATGGGACATACGAATGAAGTGTATCCTCAATGAACACTACGAGCACACCGATTTGGTTGCCGAGGCCAAGTCATTTTGGGAGCAAATTTTCCTATACTCTCTTTTCGCTTGCGGATGAAGACTTGGGAGCTAATTCGGTTGCGCCCCAAAATTCAGTTCAAGTGATTTGTAATTCTGTATGCCTATAAGGGGTCGGCCTCCTTGAAGAATATACCTATATATACTCATCTATTATGTATAATAGCCAAAGTCCACACGTAGGTATGATTGATTGTTATCTATTGAGCACTAATAAGGTTTTTCCTAGAAAATAGAGAAACAAATTCAGACCATCATGTGATGAATTGTTCAGTAACCACAATTATTGTTGCATCTCTTATATTTTTTCTGAACATTCAGTGGACGATTTGGCGAAAGCGCGGCCGATGTTTCATTCATAATATATGAAACATCAATTATATGGCTTCTCCCAGCTTTCGGGTAAAATCTTTTTCCCGCGACCAAAATAAATCTTCATAAGTACGAATAAGTAATAGACAAATTTGTTGTTTCCATGAACCTGTAACATGTTATTGGAATTTTATTAATGTCAAATGCCCTATGCATAAAGGGTAGTAAAGCGGCCCCACTGCTATAGAATAAATAGAACATTGTTTACTGAAATAAAATATTCGTATTAATAGGAGAGCCGGCTGCACATTTTGACCGTCATCTGATAACGAAATTTAATATGTTCCGAAGGCATGAAAGAACATTGTATTTTATCGAACGGCACCTGTGCCCATTGCTATCCTGAACAAAATGATTGAAAAATGGCACTTCCCTGTGCGTTAATTTACACTCAATTCCATCGTCCATCGGATATTATCTTTCGAGAGGGGCGAAATATTCTCGGAAATACTGACGCTCTGCCACTAACTTAGCTCAGTTTGAATCGCGGCACGTTTAGAACTCGTTATCGCATGACGGAAGTTTGTCCGGAAAAACGGTAGCAAATAAATTGCTGTGCCGTGGATTTGACTCACATTGAGGGGTGGCACAGAAGGGTTTTGGGATCTACCATCAAATTGGTATCGGATGGCACAATTATTCTCATCTCGTTATCGAATCGCGAAATTGTGCGAATTACCGCACAGGAAAGTGCAATTTTTCCATCATTTTTATCAGGATAGTGATTGGCACAGGTGCCGTACGATAAAATACAATGTATGTATATACATGCCCTTGAGACATATATCATTTCGTTATCAGATGACGGCTCTTGGATCATATATGCTGGCATCCGTATTCGAGAACCATGATTTTGAAACAATATCAATTTCTTGTATAAATTATCAGATATTTCACACTCAGTGGCCATCATTTAAAATAATTTTTTGAAAATATCGTCTGAAATCTAAATAAAAAGTTCATCGACTTACGAATTGTTTATTGAATTCGGTGTCGACGATGGGGTTGGCCTTTTGTTCTCCTCTCTAATAGAACTGCTGTTGATCTTCGACGTTAACCTCTTCAGCACATCATCCATCGACCTCTTCAGCGGATGCGTAAAACTATTATTATTATGCAAACTACTATTGTTATTGTTATAGTGAATGTTCGTTTTCATATCCGAATTTGGACTACTACACTCCGAAGAATTCCTTCGTCTCTCAGAGCCGTCGTTGTGTAACGATAACGCTTGTATGCTGCTCGACATAAGGATGTTGGGCTCGGAAGAGTACATTATCCTTGCCGTCTTGTTCGGAGGTGTTCTCTCATCGTCGACGTCATCAACGTCACTGCCTGTGGCGCTGCCTGGCGACGAGGAGCCTGAGATCTTGTAGAAAGGGGCAGCTGGATGTTGTACCTGAAATGAAGAGTGGCACCTACATTCTGTTGTTTATTTAGTCTCAGTAGTATATCTCATAGTATCGATCAGTTGAAAAGAGTGATTCACACTCAGAGAAATAGTCGGCAGTGAATAACAAACGTACAGTGAAATAGGCGCCAGTCACTACATTCATCAAATAATACCACAATGAAATTGTATCATACAGTATCAAACTATTTTGTAGTAGTAAAAATTGATATCGTATAATAATGTACATTTTTGAAGTGGTATTATTAGATGAATGTATAGTGACTGGTGCCCATTTTACTAAACGTTTGGTATTTACTACGGACTATTTTTTTCACTGTATTCTGCTTATTTATGCAGTTATGCTGCCGAAAATACATCATATTCTAGGAACTTCTGTGGAACCGCTGCCGGAGAGGATTTTTCGAATGATAGTATATATTATACACCTATAGGGTGAGAACTGAGCTATTATATAGCAAGCACTTTTATATCCATAGGCGCGAAGCGTTGAAGGTTTAGTGTATTCGATACATCAATTAGGTAATTTTGTTTGTCATCAATTTTATTTCCGTATCTGATATCACAATGACTCCATTGTGTTATTATTTCAAAAAAAAAGCTCATCGCTTATGGAATTTCAACTTTCAAGCAATGACAGCTCTGTCTAATAGATGAGCATTACTTGACAGAAAATCAGATGGCTACAAGACGAAGAAATCGAAAATGCCGCTATCTATTAAAGCCGTAGAAGGACTATAGTGCATAACTTGCACGGAATGCTAATTTTCTACTCGGATGATTGCAGCATTCGCCTATGGCTCATTAAGCAATATACTATTTTCCACCTTCAACCTGACAAATCACCATTATTCGAGGATTTCCTCTAAGGAGAAACAAGCCTCTTTGAACCTATAGGTTGATGATATACAGTATGATGCAAATGTATGGAATAAATTCATTATTTCAGAAATGGGCGACATTTGAAAAAATTCCAAAAACACGTGAGTTTTAATTTCTGAAGCCTCATCTCATGATATTCATATGAGAGATGTTACGTCACCGGTGTTGGAGTAAAGACGTAATGGACGATTTTTTCAAATACAAATAGGGGTCATGTGACACCTTGATTGAAAGGTCTACCGATCGTCTATTCAACAGTCAAAATGTTGAATAAGGAGATTGAAATTAAAATGGATTATCATGTGATTAATTGAATCTTGCAGAGGTATGCTACTGAGAATTGAACATCGAAGGGTCGTCTAGTTAAAAAAATACGTCGAAAAAAAAGTTCTAAACTCTAGTTTTTGTTTCTTTTTCGAAAGTCGTCTTGTTTTGAAATGAATTTATTCCATACATTTGCATCACACTGTATAATATAATGATGAATTGATGAAGAAATTTTACCAAGAAAAAAAACTCTCAATAGTGTCAATGATATTATGCAATTTAATAGAACGGATCTGTAGAAGTGAAACAAAGCGGAAGATACGTTCCAGAAATAAGAAACTTCGAGTCGAAAATAATATCCATCGCTGGCGCGAGCTGTAGTAGGAAGGCCCGAAGTATAGCCCAGCCCCTCCTCTCCGCCTTTCTCCATATCACGTGACTCGACAAACTAATCAGAGGCTGGCTTGGAAATGTCACAGAACACTACGGAAATGTCACGTAATAGTCGCGGAACACCACGAAAATGTGAAACGTCACGGAACACCACGGAAATGTCACGGGAAACCACGTAAATGTAACGCAAATGTGACGGAACACTGAAACACCGCATGTCACGGAAACGTCACGGAACACTGGAACACCACGCAAATGTCACGGAACACCACGGAAATTTCACGGTAACGCCATGTAACACCACTGGAATGTCACGGAACACCACTGAAATGTCACGAAACACTACGTAAATGTCACGGAAATGTGACGGAACACTGGACCACTACATGTCACGGAACACCACGAAAGTTTCACAATAACGCCATGGAAGACCACTGAAATGTCACGGAGCACCACGTAAATATCACGAAAATGTGACGGAACACTGGAACACCACGCAAATGTCACGAAACACCACGAAAATTTCACGATAACACCATGGAACACCACTGAAATGTCACGGAACACCACCTGAATGTCACGGAAATGTCACGCAATACTGTAACATCACGGAATCGTCACGGACTTTCGCGACTTTTCCGTGGTGTTCCGTGACCTCTCTGTGGTATTCCGAGACAGCTCTGTGGTGTTTCGAGACATTTCCGTGGTGTTCCGTGGCATTTCCGTAGTATTTGGTGACATTTCATACGTGTTTCGTGACATTTCCTACGTGTTCCGTGACATCTCTGTGGTGTTTCGGGATATTTCCGTGATGTTCCGTGGTATTTCCGTGGTGTTTCGTGACATTTCCGTGGCGTTTCGTGGCTTTCCAGTAAAATTCCGTGACTTTTCCGTGACATTTCCGTGGTGTTCCGTGACGTTTCCTAGCCGGCCTCTGATTGGTTGATCGAGTCACGTGGTTTGGAGAAAGGTGATGGGAAGGGTCTGGACTATGCTCCGGGACAACCTACTTCAGCGCGCGACAGCGATGGATATCATTTTCGACTCGAAGTTTCTTATTTATGGAACGTATCGCTTTGCTCTACCTACACAGATCCGTTCAAGAAATAAGCGCGGCACCGATGGGTATTATTTCCGACTCGAAGTTTTTTATCTCTGCAACGCATCTCTCGCTCCACTCAACAGTGTGTCGAGTTTGTTTCCAAAGTCTACATATTTTGTTTGGATATCATTAAAATGATTAAAATATTACGGAGATCTGAATACCACAGTGCGTATATACGCTACCTCATAACGCAAAGGTCTCTGGTTCAATTACCCAGCGGTGACAGCTCCTTTCAAATTTATTCATGATGGTGGCGTGTTGTCGCATGAATGATCTGAATTTCGCGCCGGACTCTGATTGGTTTAGTGGACGTGGCCTCTAACCAAATGCTGGCCTCTGATTGGCTTGCCCTGATACATACATAGCCCCTCTACTGATATACACACATACATACCGATGTGTATGAAACCAACGAGAAATGATACTTCCTTAAATTCGAATATAGTTGGAACTACAAAGCTCATTACAGCTGGAATCAACTTTTGAAGTATGAAAAATGTTTGGAATAATCTGATTATCATTAACTCGAATCAATTCTAGGAATATTCCAACACAAATCATACGTGAGTTGTCACTGTCATGTGTGGATTAGACCAACAATCCAGATAAATATGACTTCCGGTGAGGACACATTTTTTGACGAATCAAAACAATTTCAGCTATGACGGTCGATACATGATGTACCAATTCAATTATTGTTCAATGGTATCATGTGCGATATTCAGAAAGGTTTGAATATTTCAAAACATTTCAATGAATTTCAAAACATTTCAATGAAAACTGTATATTTTTTATATTTTCTCGCAATATTCATCAGTATCATTCCTAACTTGATGCAGGGGGGAAACAAGCTTCCTATCGAAATGAATATCTCTTAAATTCTCACTCGGATTTGTAATTATTCACAATTCCACCTAGAATCTTGATACAGCGTTTATTTTCTGACAGCCAAGTCGAATTTCCTTTTGGTTTGTTTGTCAATGGAAATCCTAGGGCTGCTTCAATGGGAATGAAGATCTGAATTGATAAAAGATGTTTATTGTCATCTGGATCACAAGTTCCCAAACATGATCTGAAGAATAAGAAACCGAACAAACCTTGACTCTTTATAGAAGGTTCAAAAATAAAAAAAAATATTAAAACTTCAACGCTTTATATATCGGTAACAAAACTTCTGCGGATACATACTTATAGAAACAAAAGTCTTATTTTGACATGAAAAACAAGTCCCTGGAATGGTGATGACCTCGTGTAATTTTCGAAGCTTATGTGCAGCAGTGAAAAATCCCTTCTGATGTTGAATCGATATCTTGAAGACTTGCCAGGTAATGTGATGATGTGAAATTATTATGGTGAAAAGAACCATAATAAGCATTTTGATACGTCCCATGAAAACTAATTAATTTCGAAACAATTAATACCAAAACATACCATGGTGTTCGTGTCTTCTTCGCAGATATCGCTGAGGTTGTTGCTGCTAGTTTCGTCAAGGTCAGTGAGATTACCGCCTTCGCTGCCACTGCCTAGCTGCTGAGGTTGAAGAGATGGGAGGTTTGATTCGGTTGTGTTGTTGCCTTCGTGAAGTTTCGTTGGAGGAGACTTTCGCTTCGAAGACATATTTCTGCAAGAAAATCAGTTGATAAAGATTCATTTCAAAAACAAGTTTATTTCAAATCATTTACAATTGTTTATCATAAATGTCAATATTCAATTCGAGGTACTTTAGCTCGTACAAAACGGGTACAATAGCACGAAGTATACACATATATTACACAGTTTATGACAAGTAATCGAAACACTTTGGGGCTATCAATCAATTCTTCAAACCCTCAAATATTATCGCAGGTTATCTGTTCACTCACTTACAAAAATGAGTGAATATATTGATGCTTTTAATGACCCAATTTACCCCCCTGTATCTTTGTTGCTATTTGTATGGATATTGAGAATTTGGTACATCGATTTGATTTCATGAGTGTATAATATCGCTAGTATATATAGACCAAATATGACGCTTCTGGTTTGTCCGGAAGAGCAACCAATGTTCTAACTTCAAATAAAAAGTATACATTTTTTTTTCATTCGAAAATTACGAATCAGTATAAAATTACCTTTTCAACGATATATCACAATTTATAAAAAAATACTCTTTGTATTCCCCTCGTAACGTGTAGGAAATTCATCAAATTAAATATTTTGATGCGACCGATTTTGCAGTTTCAATAATTATTGTAGGTATACCCCCATGAAAGAAATTCAAAATCATAGCCAAATAATACGTAGTTGAAAGGTTCAATATACAAATGTATAAAAATATATATAGGTATAGCACAAAGATTATATTTTCTTCATTACAAATAAAATTGTAAAAATATTTACTTAGTGTGCATAAGAATCTTTGTGGACTTCAAATTATTGTTACTCGCATGCTATTGTTCCATTTTTCAACATTTCATGAAAATATTTCGTTACGAGGGAAATACCAAGGATAGTATTTCATAAAATCACAATTATATGAGTAAATTGTTTATCAGAAGTATAATTGAGATATATTGTGAAGATACTTACTCTTAATTTCCAGAAATATATATCTGTCAGTCATGTCTGTCAGTCATGTCTGTCAGTCATGTCTGTCAGTCATGTCTGTCAGTCATGTCTGTCAGTCATGTCTGTCAGTCATGTCTGTCAGTCATGTCTGTCAGTCATGTCTGTCAGTCATGTCTGTCAGTCATGTCTGTCAGTCATGTCTGTCAGTCATGTCTGTCAGTCATGTCTGTCAGTCATGTCTGTCAGTCATGTCTGTCAGTCATGTCTGTCAGTCATGTCTGTCAGTCATGTCTGTCAGTCATGTCTGTCAGTCATGTCTGTCAGTCATGTCTGTCAGTCATGTCTGTCAGTCATGTCTGTCAGTCATGTCTGTCAGTCATGTCTGTCAGTCATGTCTGTCAGTCATGTCTGTCAGTCATGTCTGTCAGTCATGTCTGTCAGTCATGTCTGTCAGTCATGTCTGTCAGTCATGTCTGTCAGTCATGTCTGTCAGTCATGTCTGTCAGTCATGTCTGTCAGTCATGTCTGTCAGTCATGTCTGTCAGTCATGTCTGTCAGTCATGTCTGTCAGTCATGTCTGTCAGTCATGTCTGTCAGTCATGTCTGTCAGTCATGTCTGTCAGTCATGTCTGTCAGTCATGTCTGTCAGTCATGTCTGTCAGTCATGTCTGTCAGTCATGTCTGTCAGTCATGTCTGTCAGTCATGTCTGTCAGTCATGTCTGTCAGTCATGTCTGTCAGTCATGTCTGTCAGTCATGTCTGTCAGTCATGTCTGTCAGTCATGTCTGTCAGTCATGTCTGTCAGTCATGTCTGTCAGTCATGTCTGTCAGTCATGTCTGTCAGTCATGTCTGTCAGTCATGTCTGTCAGTCATGTCTGTCAGTCATGTCTGTCAGTCATGTCTGTCAGTCATGTCTGTCAGTCATGTCTGTCAGTCATGTCTGTCAGTCATGTCTGTCAGTCATGTCTGTCAGTCATGTCTGTCAGTCATGTCTGTCAGTCATGTCTGTCAGTCATGTCTGTCAGTCATGTCTGTCAGTCATGTCTGTCAGTCATGTCTGTCAGTCATGTCTGTCAGTCATGTCTGTCAGTCATGTCTGTCAGTCATGTCTGTCAGTCATGTCTGTCAGTCATGTCTGTCAGTCATGTCTGTCAGTCATGTCTGTCAGTCATGTCTGTCAGTCATGTCTGTCAGTCATGTCTGTCAGTCATGTCTGTCAGTCATGTCTGTCAGTCATGTCTGTCAGTCATGTCTGTCAGTCATGTCTGTCAGTCATGTCTGTCAGTCATGTCTGTCAGTCATGTCTGTCAGTCATGTCTGTCAGTCATGTCTGTCAGTCATGTCTGTCAGTCATGTCTGTCAGTCATGTCTGTCAGTCATGTCTGTCAGTCATGTCTGTCAGTCATGTCTGTCAGTCATGTCTGTCAGTCATGTCTGTCAGTCATGTCTGTCAGTCATGTCTGTCAGTCATGTCTGTCAGTCATGTCTGTCAGTCATGTCTGTCAGTCATGTCTGTCAGTCATGTCTGTCAGTCATGTCTGTCAGTCATGTCTGTCAGTCATGTCTGTCAGTCATGTCTGTCAGTCATGTCTGTCAGTCATGTCTGTCAGTCATGTCTGTCAGTCATGTCTGTCAGTCATGTCTGTCAGTCATGTCTGTCAGTCATGTCTGTCAGTCATGTCTGTCAGTCATGTCTGTCAGTCATGTCTGTCAGTCATGTCTGTCAGTCATGTCTGTCAGTCATGTCTGTCAGTCATGTCTGTCAGTCATGTCTGTCAGTCATGTCTGTCAGTCATGTCTGTCAGTCATGTCTGTCAGTCATGTCTGTCAGTCATGTCTGTCAGTCATGTCTGTCAGTCATGTCTGTCAGTCATGTCTGTCAGTCATGTCTGTCAGTCATGTCTGTCAGTCATGTCTGTCAGTCATGTCTGTCAGTCATGTCTGTCAGTCATGTAATAGCAAGTGGTGGAAAAAAATATTCCCAACATTCGAGGGAAAGCGGACTCATTTTGGTAATATGCCTGCATTTGTTTTGAAATTGCTATCATTACAAATTTGTTATATGAATAAACTTTTTCCTCCAAGACATCAGCTCAATTAATTCAACTTCATTTTTGTCAGAAATAACATAATTTTTAACAATCGACGAACGTTTATTTCTATAATGTATGGAAATAATTGATTTTTATCCACGCTCTATGACTAAATCGAATTTCAACGGCTACTATGTACATACATTATTATGTTTCACATATCCTGCAACTACCATATTATGGAAGATGTTATCCTAGTACAATCTGCACCAACTTCAATTCACTTCCTATATAGTATAGGAGGCCAGAAGGCGGTTCCTTATTTCAATTTCAGTAATCTTAATCCCAAATAGGCACTGACCACGATCATCGAGAGAACTATTTACTACTATGATTGCACCCGCTTTTCAATTTCCGCCGAATAACTACTAATCTGATAAAAGTCTTTAGCCGACGCGAGATCTTCTCATCATATATCCTGATGATGATCAACTATCGGAATTCAGAATGCGTGTTAAATTCCCATCTCCGAATAACAGTGTTTATAGAAGAACAATCGGGGATCAATCGGGTCAAGTTGCCATTATCATTCCACTAAGAAATATAACGATTTAATAGCAATGAGAGGATTGTGCAAAACAGATAGGTTACATGCGAAATGGTCGTGGATCAAAGTATAAAATTTCTTGAGGTTAGTTTTAATTGATATGTCTGAATAGTTGTGGATGATGAATGTTGTAAATGTTTCATACATGTCGAGATTTTTTTCATGATTAAAAACTAATTACTTTTTCAACGAATCCATAATTTTGGGAATTCCGATTCTGGCAAGATATGCATGTGACATTATTTATAGTAAATCAATATTAAGAGATAATTGACGCAATTGAATATGAGGAAATAGTTCTTAAACTCATTGGTTGTCAATATTTGGAAAAAGATTTTGTCAAAGCTGAAAGTATACAGTGTGTCCCGAAATTAGCCTGTCAAACTCTGCCGGTGGCTTCTACGACCAAAATTAAGGAGAAACGTTTCAATCAACCTGAGTCGATCGACTCATGTTCATTGAAACTTTTCTTCCCATTTTTGACAGGCTCATATCTGGATTCCCTGTATAAAGGTGAATTGGCGAATAAACACCATCTTTGAAGATAATAGGCCTGTGTGAGTCACTGTGAGTACTTATAGCATGATACCATAGTTTCATTTAAGGTGTTATAATGATTGCTCAGAGAGAATTATTGGTTTATAAAAAAAAACAATTATGCCTGAGAGCGACCATCAGTCCCAAATATTTTTTATCGAAAAAATACATACCTACTCATACAAATTCAGAAAAATTACTAGACATTTTAGTATACAGTAGCATCATCATCAGCACATATAGCACAGTCAAAACAGTATTAAAAAGCTTCAAATCAATCTGTTATCATATATATGCCGGAAATTATGGAATTATAATCATCAGTTTGTTTTTGGATAAAAAAACTATTCATTATATCTGTTGTGGAATAATCTGCGACTGAGAGATAATATAACTGACTATCTCCTATTCTTCTAAGATAACCTTGATTCAATGAAAGTTATATTATTTAATCAAGAGATTTCAAAGAAATCGGCACTGAGGAGTTTCACAAGTTTATATAGAATGTAAAATCATATACATATGTGGTTTTATTCACGGGTGAGTAGCTTTCCATAGTTAGAGCAAGTTTTTAGAGAACAAGTAGTAATAAACACAACTTCTTCAACTTCTTTCAGTTTCGATGAACTACAATCTGATCTGTTATCAGTACAAAGCTGGTGCGGCATGTGGGACATTCCTCTGAATATCGACAAGTGCTCTATTCTACATGTTGGCCCCACTAACCCAGAACTAGACCAGAACCATAACGACCTAGGAGTCATTTTCAACAAGAAACTAACTGTGTCCAATCAAGTAGCAGCAGCTGTCCGTAAGGCAAACAGTCGCACATACCTCCTTAACAAATGCTTTGACCAACCTGAACCAAGCCTCTTCAATAAGCTTTATAAAG